ACACATGTTTTGGTTTTTCTCAACCAAATACAGATACTTGGTTCCTACATAATGTGCAAAGCAGTTGATTGCATTTGAATCTTCAGCCTTATTCTATCATTCAGCAGAGGGAGAACCAGGGACAGTGTAACATTTTAGTGTCAGATTACAGCATAATGGATAATATACTTATGGAAAGAAGGACATGGATTAGAATTTGGGTCACTAAGTAATTGACTATTTAAACTGAACCCTTGAAAGTGAGAAGGTCCATTAGTTAATATTATCACCAGACAGACCCATTGTGGTACATAATGCCCCTAATGGGAGTTCTTCATAGTGTGTCCAGTGAAATATCATTGCTCAGTTGCTTAACATGTGTGATGGTTCATTTTACAAGCCTAGATATTTGGTTACACACTGTCCCTGGGTGTCTGTTTGTAAGGGTGTTTCTTGATGAGATTAATACGTGAGTTGTAGCCTGAGTGGGACAGGTTGCTCTCCTGTTGTGGGTGGTGCTCATCCAGTCCACTGAGTTCTTTCGTTGTTGTTCAGTTGCTTACTTGTGTCCGACTCTTTGCGACCCATGGACTATGGCACACCAGGCTTCCCTGTCCTTCACTATCTCTAGGAGTTTGTTCAAACCCATGTCCATCGAGTCGGTGATGCCATCCAGCCATCTCATCCTCTGTCATCCCCTTCTCCTCCTGCCCCCAATCCCACCCAGCATCAGGGTCTTTTCCAATGAGTCAGGTCTTCACATCAGGTGGCCAAAGTACTGGAGCTTCAGCTTCAGCATCAGTCCTTCCAGTGAACACCCAGGACTGATCTCCTTAGGATGGACTGGTTGGATCTCCTTGCAGTCCAAGGGACTCTCAAGAGTCTTCTCCAACACCACAGTTCAAAAGCATCAATTCTTTGGCACTCAGCTTTCTTCACAGTCCAACTCTCACATCCATACATGACCACTGGAAAAACCATAGCCTTGACTAGACGGACCTTTGTTGGCAAAGTAATGTCTCTGCTTTTTAATATGCTATCTAGATTGATGGGTGTATAGTAATACCTCAATGCTGTTTTAATTTGCATTCCTCTGATGTCAATCACTTCTGTATGCTCACTGATTATTCTGGTAACTTCTGTGTCAAAATCATTGGCTTTGGAATAAAATAGATTAGGATAAGCACTCTGCTTTTAATTTGCTTGATAATACAGAAATAGTACTTGTATCTATCTCATAGATTTTGGGTCAAAAAGCAACTCATCTAGTAAACATGTCTAACAGAGCACATAGGAACAATCCAGCAAATACTAGTTCTCATGTTTACTAAACCAAGGTTAAAACATATTTAAGTGGTAGGAATGGCTCTATACAGTCAGCAAAATCAACACTGGGAGCTGACTGTGCCTCAGATCGTGAACTCCTTATTGCCAAATTCAGACTTAAATTGAAGAAAGTAGGGAAAACCACTAGACTATTCAGTTATGACCTAAATCAAATCCCTACGATCATACAGTGGTAGTGACAAATAGATTCAAGGGATTAGATCTGATAGAGTGCATGAAGAACTACGGACGGAAGTTCATGACATTGTACATGAAGCAGTGATCAAGAAAAAGAAATGCAAAAAGGTCAAAATGGCTCTCTGAGGAGGCTTACAAATAGCTGAGAAAAGAAGAGAAGCTAAAAGCAAAGGAGAAAAGGAAAGATACACCCATTTGAATGCAGAGTTCCAAAGAATAGCAAGGAGAGATAAGAAAGCCGTCCTCAGTGATCAGTGCAAAGAAATAAAGGAAAAACAATAGAATGGGAAAAACTAGAGACCTCGTCAAGAAAATTAGAGATACCAAGGGAACATTTCATACAAAGTTGGGCTCAATAAAGGACAGAAATGGTATGGGCTGTCTTAAAACTCAACATTCAGAAAACTAAGATCATGGCATCTGGTCCCATCACTTCATGGCTAATAGATGGGGAAGCAATGGAAACAGTAAGAGACTTTATTTGCTCCAAAATCACTGCAGATGGTGACTGCAGCCATGAAATTAAAAGATGCTTGCTCCTTGGAAGAAAAACCGTGACCAACCTAGACAGCATATTAAAAAGCAGAGACACTACTTTGCCAACAAAGGTATATCTAGTCAAGGCTATGGTTTTTCCAGTGGTCATGTATGGATGTGAGAGTTGGCTATAAAGAAAGCTGAGCACTGAAGAATTGATGCTTTTGAACTGTGGTGTTGGAGAAGACTCTTGAGAGTCCCTTGGACTGCAAGGAGATCCAACCAGTCCCTCCTAAAGAAAATCAGTCCTAAATATTTTTTGGAAGGACTGATGCTGAACTGAAACTCCAGTACTTTGGTCACCTGATGCGAAGAACTGACTCATTGGAAAAGACCCTGATGATGGGAAAGATTGGAGGTGAGAGGAGAAGGGGATGACAGAGGATGAGATGATTGGATGGCATCACTGATGTGATGGACATTAGTTTGAGTAAACTCCGGGAGTTGGTGATGGACAGGGAGGTCTGGCATGCTGCGGTCCATGGGGTTGCAAAGAATTGGACATGACCAAGTGACTGAACTGATCTGATGGCACTGAACAGGAAGCCCATGAAGATAATTTCTGGGGAAGATGCAAGATGGTCTCTACTTGGGCTTCCCAGGTAGTGCAGTGGTAAAACAAGTCGGCCTGCCAATTCAGGAGATGCAAGAGAAGCAGGTTTGATCCCTGGGTCAAGAAGATCCCCTGAAGAAGGGCATGGCAACCCAGTCCAGTATTCTCACCTGGAGAATCCCATGGACAGAGGAGCCTGGCAGGCTACAGTCCATAGCAGTCCATAGGATCACAAAGAGCCAGACATAACTGCAGTGACTTAGCATGCACACACACAACAGATTCATCAGTGCATCTGGATGTGTGTTTACATGTACATCTATGAACTTTCCAACCACTGAATAAGATCAATAATACGAGGCATATCAGTGAAATTTGCTTTTATGGACTATGGCATGTGGATGTTTAGCACGTGGCCATATGTTTCTCACCAAATGTAACTTATAATCTGAGAATTATAACTAAACAACACACATCATTGCAATAATTTCTTCCCAGCAACAGTTCATATCCCATTTCTTTCTCAGAGGGTCTGCTTTTATTCCTGTTTCCAGCCAAGGATCACTTGTCTCTGGCAACACCTCTTTTTTTTTTTTTTTTAATGAAACCTGGAAATACGGGGTGTTATCCTTAGGCTGAAATAGCCCTTATTTTCTTCCATGAAACTCTGATTGGCAACAGAAGTGACTGTCTGTCCTTTTTAACTCCAACCCGAGCCAGGATTGAAATATTCATGAATAATTCGCAAATAATTAAATCCTCCAGGTTTTGTTCTTATTCACGGGAGCAGAGTCATTTTGGCCTCCTTATGGATTAGATTATCCATAAAGGTTATGATTTAAGCAGTCTCTTTCTCAAATGTGATCCCTTTGAATGTGTGGGCCGATAGGACTCTGAGCAGCATGGGGTCTGTGTTTTCTCTGTAAATAAAAGCCTACAAAATTTCAACAAGTCAGCCCTTGTTTGCCACACGGAGAGATTGATGACAAACCACGTTATTTTTCCCCTAATGTAACAGTTCACAATCACACATGCGCTTTCTCAAAACATTGATTTACTTCTGCAAAGCTTATGACACATTAGATGAGTCAGTGATCTCTTTAAAGAGTGAAACTTGCACACAGGAAAGCTCATAGTGTAAAATATTGCTATTTTTGAAATCTCACAGTAGGGAGAATGTTTTCAAAATAAAAATTCAATATGGTACTATTTTGTTTCAGTAAAAGCAAAGATGGCATAGATGGTCACCTATTGATATCTACCTGAATATATACCATTCTACCCACAAACCTCTGTGCCTCTTCAAAATCACACACAGAAAAACAAAAGCAAGGACAGAGAGTTTAAAAGATAAGTGCAAATATGTAGATAGCTACATTCAGAAGAATACACAAGCATAAAGTTTCGAAGATCAAATCTGAAAGGGACCTACACCTCCTCTCCTTTAACAAGGTTTGAATTTGTGTTGTGAGACATAAACAGCTATGGATAACAAACTCGGCCTTGACGGCCACTCCTGTGTTTATGAAAATGACATGTATTTTTATCAGGTCACTAAACCTTTACCCAGCCTGCATGTTCGCAGACTCAACCAATACTTTCACTGGCTGACAAACTATAAACAAAGTGCAGTTTTAAAACTGCCATCTAGGGTCTCTTTATGTTTTGTTTTCTGTGTTTCTGAAGTTAAATTATTGGTCTTGGAAAGTTAGGGAACCAGGGTTCTGGTCATATATCTCTGTTAAGAGTTACCTTTGGGGAACTTCCTTGGTGGTTAGATCGTTTAGACTCCATGCTTCCACTACGGGGGACTTGGATTTGATGTCTGGCTGGGGGACTAGGATCCTACATGCCATGGGGCACAGTCTAAAAACAAAACGTGTATAAAATAATAAGAACCCAATCAAAAGTTTAAAAAAGAAAAAAAAAAGCGTTCCCTTCAGAGCAAAATACAGACTTCAAGGTATGTACTACCGAAAATATATCCCCCTCTTCTCATCCTGCAAATGTTCCCCAAATTCCTGTTTCTTTTGCACTGTCCTTTTGAGTTAAGGCTTTGTCACACAAAGCTGAGGAGGAACAGTTGATAATATCCCTGGTTGGACTGCTTATTCGGATTAGTTAAATTGAAGGAAGAAAGAACACTTCCGTAACATAAAAACTTAGCACTGGAGAAAGAAACTCTGATTAGGGAACCAATGACTGTGGAGTTAGATACAGACTCAAAGCCCAGTAGCTACTGGGACCAGGATACGTGGAGCCAGTCCTCCGAATCCATAGATGTGGCACACACTCCAAGGATGCGGCGGCTGAGTCTTACCCCACCTCTTCATTTAAGGAACTTGCCACATCCCCAGATTGGGAGACCTCAGGGAATGCTGGACCAGTGCCCTGCAGATCCCGAGGGATGACTGCAGATACAGACGTGGATACAGGTATAGTGATGGAGCGTGGGGAAGAAGGGGCGGAGGCAGATGAGTACTGGGCGGTGAGGAGAAATGGCAGAGATTGACAGTTTTAGCAATTTCTTTCCAGTAAGGACTCTGAAAGGAATCTAGAAATTTTAAAAATACATTTACATACATTGTTCACCTGCCCGGTCTATTGTGTAGATAAAGGTCAGACCTTTAGTATAAAAATACATCACATTGTTATTGTTATTGTTATTACTCACATGCGAATGATTATTCCTTCCAGTGTGTGGACAACTGCACACACACGTGGGTCCAAAAGAGCTCACTGTGATGAATGGCTGTCAAGCCCTTTAAGAATAACTGTAGCACCCAACACGCAGTAGCCAAGAGACCAATAGACACACTTGGGTTTTACTTCTAAGCTGAGGACTTCCACAGAAAGACATCACCTATGCTGCCGTGTCCTGCTTTTACCAGGAAGGCTGACCCACACAGAAGTGATGTCAACCTCCATTCGAAGTCAGAGGTTCTCGGTCAAGTTCGCTCTTGCTCCCTGCCACCTCCTCCCACCACCCCACCCTCTGCCCTGAGTGCCTTCCAGGGTATGTAGCATTGTCTGAGGATGTTTTAAGGTTGATGCAACTGTTGGGGGTAGGGCAGAGATGCTCCTAGTATCTGTGGGCAGAAGCCACGGATTCCACTGAGCATTATTTATGAATTTAGTTTTGGCTGCGATGGGTCTTTGTTGCTGCACGTGGCCTTTCTCTAGCTGCAGCGGGCGGGGCCTACTCTCGCTGTGGTTTCTCATCGCAGAGCCTTCTCTTGTTGCCGAGCATGGGCTCTAGGGCAGGTGGGCGTCAGTAGTTGCGGCTCCCAGACTCGAGAGGACAGGCTCAGTAGTCGGGGTGCACGGGCTTAGCTGCTCCGTGCACATGGGATCTTCCCAGACCAGGGATCGGACCCTGTCTCCTGCATCGGCAGGCCAATTCTTTAGCACTGAGTCACCGGGGAAGCCCTCCCCTAAACATTTTTATGTGTACACGACATCTCCACAGCAAGGAATGATCAGACCCAAAATGTGAGCAGTTCTTACCTGAGAAACTAGGTCTGTGAACGTACATTTCCCAGCACTAATAAACGGTCTTCAGGAAGGCGTATGATGAACACAGCCTCATCACTGTCGTTCGTTGTCTGTCATCCTTGTGTGCGCACGCACGCCCCGTCGCTTCAGTCGGGTCTGAGTCTTTGTGACCCCACGGACTGCAGCCGGCCAGGCTCCTCTGCCCATGGCATTCTCCAGGCAAGAACACTGGAGTGGGATGCTATTCCTCCTCCAGGGGCTCTTCCCGACCCAGGGATCCAACCTGGGTCTCCTGCCTCTCCTTCTCTGCAGGCGGGCTCTTTCCCTCTGAGCCACCAGGGACGCCCTTGTCGCCCTCGGTTACTTTCACGCACAGTAAGCTGTGAATAGCAAGTCGCCAGCTGGACGGTCAATCATGCTTGACTATTTATGACCTTCAGAATCAGCTTTTCTTTTGAATCCTCTTGTAAAGTTATTTTGTCCAGTCGATTGAGAATTTAAGGAATGGATGAACACTGTGTATTCCCAGAGTGTGTATCAGGCCAACAACTCATGTTTGTTTTTTTTTCCTGAAATGGTTTTGTGACCCATGTTCTCAGATGTTTGAGGCCAATGCTGTAAGCTGACCCCACGGACCTTTAAAAAGAAGTGTGCGTATAATTGAGCAGTTTTCAAAACTGAAGCCCTTGGCTGCCCACTGAGGCTTAGTCTGGGATCCCATCTGCAAACCGTATTGTTTTTGTGCGACAGGCTTCTACAAAAGATGGGACAGAGTTCCTTCTAAAACTTTTTGAGGAGCTGAAGAAAGGGGAGGTCTGTGCTGTGCTTCTTCTTTTTCTTTTTTTCTTTTCCCTCCTCGTTGTTTCCCTGAAATGAAGGGAGACTAAAAAGCAATAAAGCCAAAGGCATTTCCTACAGGTAGCCTTAAATCATTCAGCACGGAGGTCTTCAGGGAGCCGCGCGGTTCCTCTTTCCTTTCCAGAATGAGCTTTCTGGCTAAACGCTCCTCGTCCAGCCCTCGGTGTCTTCACCTGGCTCTCCAAGGGCAGCGCTGCGGGCTGGTCCCAGCACAACAGCATTCCCACTTCTTCAGAAATGGGTCTTGACCCATGCATCACATCCAAAGACTTTTCCAATTGCTCCCCGGTGGCGGAGGCCGAGGGCTCTGTTTTGCTTGTGATAATGTGCTAATCTCCGGGACCCGACATAAATTCTCTTCTTGCATTGTCATTTGTCAAAGTCGCAATATGGGACTTGGATAAAAAAAAAAAAAAAGAAGAGGGAGGGGGCGGGGGAGTAACGACAGAAAGAAAACTTGGCCTTGGGCTTGTTTTCCCTCGTGCAAAACTTTCCCCCACTTTTTCCTTAATCTGTAAAACATCTGACGGAGAGGGCCCTGCAAACACAAATAAATAAATACTTCTCCACGACTCTGCCCTTATGGTTTTCTTGTTGGGTCAACATTTTAGACAGACAGTTAAGGCTAAGAAGTAATGGTAATTTACACACAAGTCCCAAGGTTGGTGCCTGAAGCTTTGTGAACCTGTCTTCTCCACATTTTCACCACTTGTTCCAATAACAGCAAGTTGAGAGCTACGTGGTCATGCGTGGAGCCTTCATCAGCCGCCTTTCCACCAGTCTCACATCTCGGACAAGGCTCCAACTACTGGGGCTTTCCTTACGACGGCCTTTTCAAACTTCCCTGGGTTTGCTACAGCAAAAGTGTTCATGACGAGTAGGAAACGAGGTCTGTTTTCTCCTGTCAGTATTAACTTGGAGGAGAAGTGCAAATGTGCAATTTGTGTTGTTTTGAGAAATTTAGTGGGCTTCACTGGTGGCTGTGGTAAAGAATCCTCCTATCAATGCCAGAGATGCCAGTTCGATCCCTGGATCGGAAAGAGCCCCTGGAGAAGGAAATGGGAACCCATTCAGTAGTCTTGCCTGGGAAGTCCTATGCACAGAGGAGCCTGGCGGGCTACAAAGAGGTCCAAGGGGTCCCAAAGAGTCAGACACTGAGCAACTAAACAAAAAGAGCTTTAGTAAGGCATAATTACATACCATGAAATTCACTCATTGTAAGGGTACAATTCAACGATTTTTAGTACGTTTACCAAGGGGTGGAAGCATCACTACGATCCGATTTGAGAACTTCTCTGTCATTTGCTTACAGCCCCTGGTGCCTGTCTGAAATCATGCCCCCTCCCCAAGAGCAGTCCCCAGTAACCGCTCAACTATTTTCTTTCTGTAGGCTTGTGTTTCTGGATATTTTATAGAAAAGGAGTCGTACCGTCTTATGGTCTTTTCTACTGACTCCTTACACTCAGCCTAACAGTTTGGGGGTCAGCCTCTGCAGTGGGGGCCAGAACTCCATGCCTTTTCTATTAATAGAGAGCACAGCATTGTAACACCGCATTTGGCTTATCTGTTCATCAGTGGATGGGCATTTGGGATAAAACTGTTTTGGAAAATGAGCAATGGCAGCCAGTCAACATGATATTAAATTAAAGAGCTTGTTTAAAGAAGAGCATGTTAAGCTGCTGAAGCAAAAATTGTTCACCGCAGTGGCCAGCAAACCTTACCCCAGATTTTGTCTATGGGTGGAGGCTTCTCAGAATATACACTTCCAAGAAACCGAAAATGCTTATTATAGTCCAGTGTGTAGTGAAAACTAAAGAAGTTGCCAGTCTTAGATCGTGGCAAAATATCATTGGTACTGCCAATGTCTGGAAATTTCACGTGACTCATTTTCTCATACAGCCTTTTCAGAACTCTCTTGAGAGTTCTAGGGGCACTGAATAAATAGAAGAAATGGGTTTGAGACTGAATCCAGTTTGAAGACAACCTTATGGAATTTAGTACTTAATGCTATACTTGCCCTTCCCTGGCGGCTCAGATGGTAAAGAATCCTCCTGCAATGTGGGAGACCTTTGTTCGATCCCTGGGTTGGGAAGATCCCCTGGAGGAGGTCATGGCAACCCTCTCCAGTATTCTTGCCTGGAGAATCCCCATGGACAGAGGAGCCCGGTGAGTTACAGTCCATGGAGTCACAAAGAGTCGGACATGACTGAGCGACTAAGCACAGCCCAAGCGCTATACGTAAGACATAATTTTTAGCAAAATTATCATTAGTTCAGTATGTGAGTGATAAAACAAGACAGAAAGTTTGTAGGTTATTCTGACAGCAAGCATTACAGTGATAAAAGCAATTTACCCAGAGATCCTCAAAACAGAACCTCTAGCAGGCTAAACGTGATTATTGTAGATATTGACATTTTGTTATTAAATTTGCTTCTGTTAATGTGCCAAGGACTCTGCTTGGTGAGTTACATGCATTTTTATGTTTCTCATCAAATTACCTTGATTTATCGATGAGAAAACTAAACAAGGTTCAGACAGGAGATATTATGTCAATTTCCTACAAGATACGATGAGTTAAGGGAAGGAACTGGAGTTTAAATATGTATCTGTCGGCTCCAAAGATGTGTTCCTTTCCTTCGGCCCCAGAAAGATAAAAAGACTAAAGGCAGACACATCTAACATTACAAGACATGCAACACTGAAAGACAGTACTTCTTCTAAACTTTGCAAACCGAATAGTTAACATTATGGGCCGTATCGGTGCAAGAATACCTTTTTATTGGGATGATGATAAGTCTGTATCTACCGGAAGTTGCCTGTGTGTTTCACTTCTTAAACCTAAGAACCCATGGGCTAGCAATCACATCCTTTTCCAGCCCATTTCGATGGCAAGTCTTTGCATGTCACAGTGCCAGCAGGTGTGAGTCCCAGGGAGAAGAATCAAGCCCAGCTGGACTGTATGCTGAAGACAGGAGTGTAAATCGCCCTGAGGTCACGGCCCTTGGAATCAGCCTTGCTTCAGATCCCCCATGTTCTCGCTAACACATTTGTTAATTCCCGCTTCAAGAAATACTGAGAGTGTGGGCCTTGATACCCAGAAGTTGCCACTGCAAAGGGAGATTTGCCAGAATTACCTCTGTTGTCATGTGATATGGAGTTTTGTAAAGGGTGGAAAAGTAAAAGGAAGAATATCTAATTTGGTCTTTATAAGCTCCATGCATCCTCACCGGGGTTGAAAAAAGTGTTTTATTAAGAATTTTTTTTTTATACAGTACAGAAATTTGGTCCAATCTGGTTAAAAATCATTTTTTAATCACTGATCAGATTCACACTATATCACTTGAGTGTAAAGTGTCACTTTGTTTTGCTAAGGAAACCTGTGAGACTGCTCGGTAAATCCTTTCCTATGTCCTCTCCTTAAGCACTGTTGGCTGCATCACATTACCACATAGAGAACCAAGTCTGTACAACATAATTTCATTGAAACCATTAAATGGACGATTTTGTAACTCATGCTGGCAACACCAGAGCCTCAGCTAATGAACAAAAGTCAGCACAAAACTTCGAGCTCAGCTAAACCAGGCAATAACCATCTCTCCAGCGGGATCCGTTGTCACATTCTGTCATTCGATATATGGCTGTTATGCACGAAAATGTGGTATTTAATGTTGGTTAGTTCCTCTCTGTTGAGGAAACACAGTTCTATTTTCAAACGCTTAACAACCACAGACGCTTTATCATCAGAGCCGAGAACGTGGTACCTTAAATCTCAGCGTGAAATCAAGCCACCGCTCGCTGTGGATCAGCCTGCCTGCTCCCACTCGGGCCTGTGACATCCCTTTTCGGTGGCCAGGGTACCAATTAGATTTCACCCTAGGTAACTCTTCAAAAGAAAAAGCCTAATCATCTTAATAAGATGGGCGACATCTTAGGGGGAAAAATAACAAAATTAAAGTTGATTTTAACCTGCAATGAAAAACAAGCCATGGGCTGTTTCCATGTGAAGTTTTGGACGTGGTACAATGGATGGAGGGAAAGCAACCGGAACCAGGGGAGGGAAGGGGGGGAGGCGAGCAGGAAAGTTTGCCTGAGTTGTTTTCGGCCAAAGTCGCTTCTAAGTAAAGGCGCATGGAATGAGTTTAGAATTTCATAATACTGCTGACAATTAGCTACACTCGGCATCAGGCATGAAGAAGTAAAGCTTTAGGAAGAATTCTTGCTTTCTTTCCTTAGCCTGTCTCGAAGGTCAAGCCTTCATGTTGACAATGTTTGAAAGAAAAAGGCACTTCCTTTTTTTTTTTTTTTTTCCTGTCCTAGTAAATAAATAAATCATTTTCTCTATGGCAAGGAGCCTAAGGAGAGAGACAGAACTCCAGTGTTCAGGTCTGTGATTTTATTTTAGAGGTGATTTTTTTTTTTTAATAACTTTTCTTTCAAAAGAAAGAAACTGAAACAAAGACAGGGGTGGGGAAGGAGGAGGAAAAGGAAGGAAGGAAGAAAGAAAGAGGGGAAGAGAGAGAGGGAGAAAAAAAGACATAAAAGAGAGGGAGGTAGAAAGCTCTGCTGCTGCTGCCGCTGCTGCTGCTAAGTCGCTTCAGTCATGTCCGACTCTGTGCGACCCCATAGACGGCAGCCCACCAGGCTCCCCCATCCCTGGGATTCTCCAGGCAAGAACACTGGAGTGGGTTGCCATTTCCTTCTCCAATGCATGAAAGTGAAAAGTGAAAGTGAAGTCGCTCAGTCGTGTCCGACTCTTAGCGACCCCATGGACTGCAGCCCACCAGGCTTCCCCGTCCCTGGGATTCTCCAGGCAAGAGCACTGGAGTGGGTGCCACCGCCTTCTCCGGTAGAAAGCTCAGAAAGAGCCAAACGAAGCAAATGTGGAAGACGAAGCAGCAGCGATACTCTTTCTAAATTCATCATTTTTCCTTTGTGTGTTTGCTGTTGTTGTTTTCCCTCTTTCACTCTGATGCTCTGTGAGTTATGAGGAAAAGTTTGAAAAATCATTCTTCTTTCCTTCAATAGAATAGAGAACAAGCTATCTCTGTCAAATGACTAGTTAGTAAAATATAGAAGAAAAGAATACAGTCAAAAGAGCACTTACTGAACTAGCTTTGCTGTCAATAAGTACTTTAGGTCTTTTGGGGTCCAACCAATAAAGTTTGGGAGATGAGAGATGAGGTTTTAATCTGCTTTTTCTACCAGGGCAATTGCTCTTTTCCCATTCTTTTTCTTCCATTTCATTTGTACTTTTACGATCGAACTTTCTGCCGATGGATTAGCATGTCTTACAATGCTTGCTATGAAAAATGGTTGGTGGCAATTAAACCTGTGTGTCCTCAGGCCTCCCAAACTGCTCACGGAAGGAGGCTTCTTCCGCACTTGCTTCACAGCTCAGAAACTTGCAACAGAACTGGGAGTCAGTGCGTGCACACGAGCTTTAACATTTGCTCACCCACAATATTACACGTGCGTTTGGGGGGTATCTTTCCTCCGACTCACATTTTTGGCTCTTCTCTGAAGTGACTTTCCACTTTCATTTCCTGAACTCCTGGCCCCATGGTATAAAACTTACATTCACAATAGGGATTCTCCAAACTGACCCTTGGCTTGCATCACTAAAGTGCATACCTCGCTCTTTTCCTGGGAACTGTGTTCTTTCGTGTGCAGAAGTACGGGACGATTCTGACTGCGTCTTTAAAATGCAGCTGGCATCTTCCATGAATGATCGGGAAGCCTTCTGATCTGGAATCTACCGGGATGCCCCGCCCTGGGTTTTCTTCTCTCTCGCCATGATTAGCATGGAGCCCGCGTGCCCGAGCAGCCCATCTGTTCTTGCTGCTTGCTCCTCGCTGAAGTCAAGCCTAATGAAGGATGGCTCTCCGAAGGTTCATAAGTTTGATTTGCATAGCCATTCAAAGTTTGAATATCCATCAGAGTTTCTTTGGCCTGGAAATCAGGTTAGAGACGCCGTGAGACTATGTCCTCATGGGAGATTTCTCTGAATCAGTCTTTCTCTCTCTCTCTCTCTTTTCAGACCAGATGGAAACAAACTACAAAAAAAAATGCTCTCTTATTTCTCTTTTCTTTGTTTTATTGGAGCTATCAGTCTATAGTGACTGCTGTTTAAATTTTTAACTTGATTATAAATGTGTTAGAGGTCTCTAAATGCTGTCAGATACTGATCTTGAGAATCATTTTAGATCCCCAAAAAATTTTTTTAATCATTTGTGTATTGCATAAGTCACAGGAAAAGAGATAATTGATGGAAAGGGCAGATCATCTCTAAACTGAGCATGCATGGACTCTGACTTACATATATCATAAACTCAAGACAACCAGCCCACGTTTACATTTACAGGAAAGACACATTATCATATTTCCAAAGTAAATCACGTCCCTGAGCTTCATCGATGCTGGAATTGCACTTACTGGCATGTTTCTTTCTACTAAGGTGGTTCTTGCTCTGTCAACTGTCCGAATCTCAATGATCTGCAATATTTCTTTACCAAAATCTATGCCTCCTTTGGGCCTTCCGTTTGTAATTGTAGTTTTAAGAAATTCATTGTTTGTATGTATAACATTTACAATCCTGCGTGATAAACACACTCAGTATGTCCTTTATGCTACACTAAAGGCTTCCCTTGGGGCTCAGCTGGTAGGGAATCCGCCTGCAATACAGGAGACCTGGGTTCGATTCCTGGGTTGGTAAGATCCCCTCAAGAAGGGAAAGGCTACCCACTTCAGCATTCTGGCCTGGAGAATTCCACAGACTGTATGGTCCATGGGGTCAAAAGAGTCAGACATGACTGAGCAACTTTCACTTTCATTAGATGAAAAGTTGATATTATCAATAAAAATTAAAGTAAATCATTTTTAAACAGATGTTCTTGTATTCTAAAGTATGACGAATAAGGTAGATTTGAAATCAAAATATTTTATCGTACTGCTTTACGTATTTAATTTTACTTAAATCTAGAATATGTAGAAATCTCACTTCTTTATTATTTACTATAGTACTAAAATTACATAATGTTTGGGAAATTATTTAGAAATTATATACAATATGAAGTTATATTGATATAAATGAAATTAAGATTAGTTAAAATGTGATAGGGAACTATTGGGCTTTACCTTTTTTTGAGATATAAATGCATAAATTTAGGCTATCAACAAAGACCCTTATGCCTAAAAAACCAATAAACTTATGAAATGCAGTCAGAAGGCCCAGTCGTAATTGTGCTAAGTTTTCAAGACCTTGATTAAGTGTACATTCTGCTCTAGAATCCATCCCAAGAAGTCAGACCAAAATTACTGCAGGTGCTTTGGTGACTGACCCACTAGTCTATAAGCATCAGGACTCTGATTTCCCCTGAGAATCCCAGCCAGATATTATTTAGAACTGAGATGGGGCATTTGACTTATTTTTTGCTTTTGCTTTCTTGTGTTTTAACTGATAACAAGAATCTGGCTGACGGTTTTTCAGAAAAACTCTCCACACTTAGTGTATTAAGTTGGTGAGTGATTCTTCTCCTGTGTGTTATTGTTACAAGACTACAGGAGCACATTGGAAATGCACCATGGCTCCGCAGAAGTGAAGCTTGAGCATTATCATGTTAAACATTACGTACCGATACTGCTTCCAAAAGCAATCTCTAATATATATGTTTTGATTAAAAAATAGTGCTAAAATGTCAGTTCTGATATTCTGATTATAGTTAAAATAGAAGATGAAAAAAAATCCAACAGCAAAACACCCTTTCAATATATAGAAATAATTCAGATTCCCTAAATGGATACACAAAGAAACAAACAAAATAAGTCTTGCATTTAAAAAGTCTTGACTTTAGTTACTCACACCAGATATCACCCCAGAAGAATGATGTTCAGATCAACTGGTCTTCACGTATTAAAACAAGGACCTGCCCTCTGCCCTTGCCTGGTGTCCAGACTTGAAGGATGAGTGTGCACGTCTTAGGATTGCCTCCCTCTTCAGGCCTGAGATGAAAGAATCAGGCAATCACCCTGAGGATGTCCTTGTCTGGTTCCAGACAAAAAGCACATATTCTATTTATTTTCTTAAGAGTAATTTGCTTAAACAAATTATATAAATGTACTGAATTACATGTTCACATAGTAAATCAAATAATAACAATACTCAAATTCCAAGTTAAGATGCTAATTGCAGCTTCCAAAACATATTTTAAAATAATTATTTTCTCTATCTAATAATTATTATCAAATTACCTGGTGCATACTCTACCTCATATAACAGGAAAAGTAAAACATAGATATGACTAAGCAAAGCAAAAAAAAGAAAGAAAAAAGCCCATATCCAAATAGACCTTCAAATTTATAACACAAGAGCATTTTCATTCTGATAGTTGTCCCTTAAACTGATGCAAATTTGCATGTTGTTTTTATGAGCTCCAGTTTCATTTTTGAATCATCTCCAAGATAATTATTAACTGTCTTTAAAGTCCTTAATGTAATAGTTTGCATTTGTAGTCACTGCAATTTGATAAATACTGACTGTGGTGTTGGAGAAGACTCTTGAGAGTCCCTTGGACTGCAAGGAGATCAAACCAGTCAATCCTAAAGGAGATCAGTCCTAAATATTCATCTGAAGGACTGCTGCTGAAACTGAAGTTCCAATACTTTGGCCACCTGATGCGAAGAGCCGACTCATTAGAAAAGCCCATGATGCTGGGAGAGATTGAAGGTAGGAGGAGAAGGGGATGACAGAGGATGAGATGGTTGGATAGCATCACTGACTTGATGGACATGAGTTTGAGCAAGCTCCGGGAGTTGGTGATGGACGGGGAGGCCTGGCGTGCTGCAGCCCATGGGGTCACAAAGAGTTGGACACGACTGAGC